CCCTGCAGTCCCCAGCTCCACCTGCTCAGCCTCCCATGTAACCCTCAGAAGCTTCTGGCTGCCCACTGCCCATGTGTCCCCCCATGGCCAGACCAGGGAAGGCCTCACACAGTCACTGGACAGGATTTTTGTATCACAGATGGGATCTAACTTTCTGATTAAAGTCTTTCCAGATTCTCCATCACTGCGGAGCTACCACTGCATAGCCACAACCTTTCTGGGCCTTTCCAGACCCCACCCCCTGCACTAGGTGCCTCATTCCCACTGTCTTCAGTGTGCAGCACACACACACCCCAGCCAGGACCTTCTGAACACCTCGGAAGTTGGGCTCTGTACCCCACCCCTGACTTAGTTACTTTTCTTGTTGCTGAGGCAAAATACCTGGTACCCAAAATTAGAAGAGGAAAAGGTTAACTTCGCTCACAGTTTGTAGAGATTTCAGCTCATAACTGAATGGCTGAAGGCAGGTGGCGTGGCAGAGGGGCGAGGAGGAGGAGAAGTCAGCAAAGCAGCGAACGAACAGAGCAGGAGGCCACAGCCAGGCCATTGTCCTTCTGTCCCTTCTATCTCATCCGGGCGACAGCACCACGCTCAGGGTGGGGATCCTTAATCCTCCCAGGGCTAGGCCAAGCCAGGCAGCAGATTCGTTTGGTAATCACACAGCCTGGGTCCTAGCCTCACATACTGCAGACCAAGCCTTTTCTGAAAAGCCTCACCTATGACCGCATGAGGCTTTGGGGGACATCTAGACCTGAGCCGTAACCCCTCTCTCCAGTCTGTCTGGTCACCCCCTGCTGTGCCTCACTGTCTGTCACTGGTGGTCCTTGCTCATACTTGTCCCTTGAGCTGCCTTCCTCCCTTCCCCTGCCATCACGAGCTCCTTGAGTCCAGCCCCTGCATTACTGCTCTTTATGGCCCTTGTGCCTGGCACTTCCACGCTGCTCTGTTTGGTTTCTGCAGGAAGAGAGGAAAAGGAGCCTTTATTCCACATTCCACCTTCCCTCTCCAGCCAGCTCACCCTGAGAGTCCACATCCTCTAAGGGAGGCAGGCTCGGCTCCTTGGGGCCTTACCCCGGAGGCAGTTTCGCCCATCTTTCATCTACTCCAAGGACGGAGTGTGGTCCCCTAGCCACTCATTCAAATGGGGATAATTTTTGGGACCTTCTTATTGGAAAGAAGATGATAGAGGATGACACAGGTCAAGGTCAAGATGCTTCAGAAAGGCATCTTGTGCCTCATCTATGTAACAGCACAAGCTTGCATGTCAGGCAGACCCTGGTGCTCCTAAAGCTCTAGTCCTTCCCCAGTGATTCTTGGACACACATTCAGCCCTCAAAAGTGTCCCTCTGTCTCGGCGACCTCGCCTGTAAAAGGGACCGTGTGGTCACTGAGACTGGCAGTGTTGTCCTGCATCTGAAAGCACTTGGCCGTCATTGTCAAAGACCTCTCTTGGGAAATGTTTTCTGTTACATTCAATAATAGTTTAGCCCTTCCAAAGCCCTCCACCCAGCCTGTGTGTCCCCAGAGCAGGTGAACAGCCTGGGAAAGGAATCCCTTTGCCGGTCCTGTCGGTGCTAAGAAATGCAGGAAGTGTGGAATTTCCCCTGGGAGGCCAAAGGCACAGGCAAGTTAAAGGAGCAGGATTAACTTCCATGTTCAGCGGAATGGCCCAGCCAAACATCCGAGCAGCCATGTCCCAGGAACTGGACACAGGCCTGCAGGTCTCAGGACTGTCCCAAGCTCGCGGGTCTCCCGTGGTCCAAGCCTTGTGCATTTTATGTAGTTCAGAGTGGAAAGAGGCGGGGACACTAACACACGGGAACTGTGTCTGCAGCTTCAGAGGCTCACAAATGGAAGCTGGGGAAAAATCCACTGCTGGCCAGCTGAACACAGGAGAGAGGGGGCCCCTGCTTTGGTAAGGATGCAACGTAGCCTAGACCAGCCGTTGTTGATATAAGAGCAGCTTATCTGGTGGCCTCAGTTTAAACTCTTTTAAAGGGACTGAGAAGAACTGAGATGTTTGCCTTTGTTACTCTAAACTGAGTTTCTCCCAAGAAGCTTAAAACCTTCTACATACAGCATCTCGCTGTGTTGTTTGCTTTAGGGCCAGGAAGTAAGGAGGTTCTGACATTAAGCTAGGGCAGCTCTTAGTGCACAGAGGCTCCTTGGAGCCCACTTCAGTGAGGGCCCTCTGGCTGCCGCGGGCATCATGGCACCATGGATGACTCTGGGGTTTTAAGCAGAGGAATCCAGGGAGGATACCCACATCTGTGAGTCAGATGGCTGGACATAGGGAACTGGCAGAAGGCAAGGACTTCAAGTCGGAGAAAGGGGAGGTCAGTTTTGGCCTATGTTGACTCCAGAAGCTTCTAGAAGGCAGGCACTACATTGGTATGTGACCCTGGGGGGGCAGGGGGTGGTGCTTCTGACACCAGTTTGGCATCATTGGCACAAGAAGCTAATGGAAGTCCCTGGAGATCTGCAGGAGAAAGAAGCAGGGAAGTGGGGACCAGGAAGGTCAAGTCATATGTGTCCCCACAAGGGCTGGGAGACCCAAGTACTGAGCTGCAGATTCCAGCCTCAGCCACCCTTGAGCACAGGACAGGCAGCTTAAACACCCCTAATGCTGGACAGCAGCCTTGTCCTCCAGGCTGCCCGGGGCTGGTCCCAGCTACAGCCATTGCAGTGCTGGGGACAGGAACACACAGGCCCTCGTGTGGGTCTTCCCACATCTGGTCCCTTGCCTACCGTGGCCCTGTGCCCACACACAGTGGTCTGCACAAGCTGTGGCCAACGCCACCCTGAGCTACCACCTCTAATGGGGACCCCAAGAGGGGCTGACGCTGCTGTGCTTAGGGGGCCCACATCTGTGCCTCTTCCTGTCCTTGTATTATATCAGGGAGCCCAGTGCCTTCACGTGATCCATGTGGATGGGCTCTGGGTGACACGCTGACATGCAAGCCTTCCTTGCACCTCCCTTGGGACCACGACCCTGATGGGAACTTGGGTTCTCCAGCCCAGAGACTCCCTGCATTCTGCACTTCCCTCACGGCCTCCGTGGGAGAATTTTAGCATATTTAAGTTGGAGATTAACTTAACAAGTTGCTTTGACATATCCAAGAGCTGCTTTTATTAAATAAAGGCTCACAGAGGAGGGAAAGAGGAGACAGGAAGAGCAGCCTTTGTCCATGGCGTTTGATAAAAGCTCCGGCAGCTGGTTGTTCTGAGATTGTGAGATTTGCTGGACAGCATTGCCTCCCCCTAGGAAACCATGCACACAGCACCCTGGAGGCAGCACGGGGCAGCACTGGCCATAACTGTTGCTTAGAGTTCTGAGAGCAGAGACCCAGCACACAGACAGGACTGATGGTCCAAACCTTAGCTTAGACGTGCTCTGATGGAATTTGGGCTGGTCTTTTCCTCTAGACATCTTTAAAGAGATAGCTATTCAGATTCCAGTGCCAAAAATAAACTCATTGTGGCCAGGCCAGCATGCAGAGCACCCCAGATTCAGCAGGCATAGGGGTGGACAGGCTGGGGCTTGGTTCCAGTGGGAGAAGCGGTTCCCCATGAAGGAAAAGAGCAGGGTGTTGAGATCAGCAGAGAGGGGCTTGGGTCTGTTTCACACCCCAGGGGCCCACGTTCTCTCTGATGCAGCGGCTCTTGATGCCCCTCTCTGTGTTCCCGGAGAGCAGAGGAGAGAACCCTGCTTGCGGCCCTGCTGGACCTGCCAGCCTGCCCCTCTGTCCTGCTTCTGCCACTTGACAACCAGGTGCCCCAGGCCACCACTTCGTATCTTCAGCTCTCTGGGTCCCCATCTATAAATGCAGTGACAACAATGGGGCACACTCCACAGGGCCAAGCTAGGGGGCAAGCTGTACCACGTGCTTGCATGAAGACCCAGGCAGGAGGTGGCACCTGGAACCTGCCAGCTCTAATGTGGCACCCTTATGCCTCACACCCAGCACACCCCACTCAGTCCCTGGCCACTGGCACTCCCTGTAGGTGTCACCCATGCTGCCTTAGGGACTGAGACTCAAACTTAGGATACAGGAATTCTTAGACTTTGTGGCTTTGGGTCTAAATGCTAAACAGCTCCCAAGGGACGCTTGGTAGAAGTGCTGTTTTCTCCCTGTATGTCCCAGGCAGCTGGGCACCAGGAGTACACTGGCCCAGTTGCTGGGATGCCCGAGGATCCAGTTCAGCCACTGTCCTTTCTGCACTGGAAGATGCATGATCTGTTTTCCAGCTCCGACTTGCTGCTTGGTACATAATGCTGGAGAAAAAATCACAGCCAGGGTGTCTCCAGCGATTTTGTCATCACTCACAGGACAACTGTCTTGGTTTAAAGTCCTATCTGCCGCCTTCATGATGGTTTAGGAAGTATATAAATAGGAGTATTCTCTGTGGCTGAAACAGCTTTTATCTGTCACAATTTTGCACAAAGCACAAATTGTGGCAAAAATACCTGAACTTTGCGCTCACTGGGTGCTTTGAAGAGATTGTTAGGTGTGTGGTAATTATTCACTTGGACCACGCTCAGGCCCGGCCCAGCTCTGTCGCAAAGCCCTGCTTGCCCTGGAGGGGCTCAGAGCCGCCTGCCTTCCCTGGGGAGCCTGGGCCACAAAAGCACAGCCGAACAAATAGCGTGGCAGGGGCCCTCGTGCTGAAACAGGTTTTCGCCTGGTAACAAACTTGAATAAACCCAGGGGTGGCAAGCAAGCTGTGATTAAAACTCACAGCCCAGCTCCCATTGATCTTCAACAGTCAGTCACCGGTTTATCTCAGGCCCGAAGGCTCACGGTTCTAGAGCAGACCGTGTATGCGACAGGCCAGGCCCAAGGTGCAGGGGTGGCCACAGGTGAAGGGAGGCAGGCATGCAGAGGGAGCCCAGTAGGCCCACCGCCCAGGCACCCTCCATGCCCCGATAGCCCTGCTGTTTATGGGAGAGGGGGCTCAGATGCCCGCTCCTCACCCAGGCTGTACCCTCTCCTTGGCAGGTGGCTCGACAGCTTCAGCCATCTGTGGTGTGGATCCAAGACACGGAGAAAACCTTCTACAAAAAAGTTCCCAACACCGAAAAACAGGTGAGGGCTTCTCCTGCCCTTCTCTCTTGGACCTCTCCTGGCTCAGAGGAGGCCTCTGTGCGAGGCACCATCGGCCACTGTTTTGAGAAACTCTTATCTTTTCAATGCAAAAAAGAGACATGGGGCTTTTAAATATCCTGCAGAGTTCTCTCTCTCTCTCTCTCTCTCTCTCTCTCTCTCTCTCTCTCTCTCTCTCTCCTTATCTGCATCTGAAAGGATTCAGGGGTCTGATGTTAGGAGGTATAATTTAGAAGAAAATGAGAGAAAATGGAGAAGAAAGCGGGGAGAAAAAAGTGTTTTGCAACCCAAACATACAATTCAGAGGGAAGAAATCACTTTGAGAACTCTGCTCCGTTACAGCGGATGACACATGTAGGAGTTATTATTAGGATTTCCTATTGTTCATAATAATAAATAGCAAAGGACCTGAAACTTACGAACAAAGAGCGTCAACAGAGCTGCTAAGGGCTGCTTTCGGGGGGGCCCAGGGAGCCCCGTTCGGATTGCTTCCTTCCTCCTTTTCTCTCCTTTCCATGCACCCTCCCCGAGCTCTCCTCCCCCACACACACCGCAAATCACCAGCAAATCTCTCACAAGTTAAAAAAAATCGCGGATACACACGATTGTTATTCCACATCAATTTGGACCAAAGCAAATAGTGGTTAACTGAATTTCTGATTAAGTTCATAAGGATTTTAATCATTTTTGATCTCCATGTATTATACATCATTTTAGCAGGTAGCGATGATTTGGATGGAGAATGAAAGCTCAATCTTTTCTTCTCCAAATGAGCCTTGATTGCTCTGTCATTTCAGAAACTCTCAGCAGAACTCATTTATTATTTCGTCTAGGAATCCAGGGCTCAGCTCCCTCTGCTGGACAAGCCCCTACATTGAGGAAGAAGAGAAAAGGTTCCCGGCAGGAAAATGACAGGGAACCAGATCCTAAGTCCAGAGAGCTATGCGGGGCTGGGCGCAACCCAAGGGTCACACATATGAAGCTCCTTGGTGGACAGGGGAAAAGGAGGGGAGGGAACCAGGTGATGACCACAGACCCCTCCCCAGGTCCCGCCCTCCCCAGCTCTTGTTCTGATATAGGGATTCCTCTCTGATCCCACAAATGCAGTCCCTCTCTGGTTTATTCCAGAGGGACCTCAAGGCCTTCAGGGGACCCAGTTTGCCCAGCTATGGGCAAATTGGACATTGACTCCGATCACTTCCACATTAGAAGACATCCCCTTCGTGCCCCATGGCTATGTGGGGGTCCCATGCATGGAACCATGGGAGTCATGCCCTGGGCACAACCCAGGCACTGGTGCCACACAAACTGAAAGGTTCCCAAGCCGAAACACCCCTAAGGCCCACGGACCTGAGCCATCCATGGGGGGAAAGCCGGGAGGGGAGCCTATATCCGGCCAGACTGCAGGACACTGAGTGCAACCTGGTTCTCACCTTACCCCCAGGACCAGTCCTCCTTGTGTGTCTCCCACCACCCCTCCAACCCCAGGTCCCCTCTGAGCCCTCATGAGGGGTGCCTTTCAGGATGTCCTCAAGCCAGAGCTGGGTTGTTCTGGAACCTTCCATCCTCTTGCCTACCTCTGGTTCCCTGTCCTCCTCCCATTGGCCCTGGAGAAGCCCTCCCACCTTGAGAATTTGGGGGCATCCATCCCCAAGCCCTGCCATCTTCACAAGCGGCTCTGCCCGCTGTGGCCCTGGACGAGCCCTGCCTTCCTTCCCCGCCTCTAGGAGAAGCTCTGCCGCAGGCCGGGCTGCTGTGTGGCCGGTCTGTCTGCCCTTAAGTCTGAGCAGAAGGCAATAAAGGGCCCGGCAGAGCCACCTGCGCCTGCATTTTCTGCATCATTGCTTCTCTAGCAGGAGCCTTCCCGACATGGCAGTGGAGCCTCTGCACAGGAATCGGGCCTTCCTGGTACAGGTGGTTTTATGGCATTAAATGCAGGAAAGCAAACAGAAAGTGCTGTGTGGATGCTGGGCACTCATTGGAAACTGCCCATAGTAATACAGTTGCAAGGGGCTGGCAGGCCTGGCAGTAGGGCGGTGGATAGAGAGGCTGCCAGGAGATTGAGGGGACATTCCTGGCATGACGGATGAGCGTGCAGCAGGAACAGCTCTAAACTGAAAATAACGGTGGCCAAGCACAGGGGAGCTGCTAGCTAAGTGGGTACACCTCCTGCTTCCATCCCCTGCCAATGGACTGCACCTCCCCAATAGCAAGGATGTCACTCTGGATGCAGCCCAGGATCAACATTTGTCATCCAAATAGACTGGTTAATTTTAAGTGGCCCTGAAATGCACCCAGGATATGCATGGAGCAATATCATCTTCTGCCTCAGCAAAGGGTAGAGATCACACCATCACCATGGCAACTGGATTGCAGGGGGACAGGCTCAGACTGTGTAGGTGTGTGTACCCCCGTGGAGTCTCAGTCCAGCCTCTCCGGGGCCCTCAGATCAGTTCTTCCAACAGTCCTTGTGCACCCTGCATGTCCCAGTTCACCCCCACCAAGTTTCTTAAAAGACCTCTCTATTACCACCATCATCTCGAACCATATGTCAGCTTACTGCCCTCACCATGCCACAGAAACTGTTCTCAGCAAGTGCTTCAGCACAAGAGAGGCGTGAGACTCCTCTGAAAACTGCGAAGGCATCATGGGACGTCTTAGAGAAGACCTAAATATATAAGAAGACATTTCATGGCCATGGGTTGCAGATAACTTAACATTGCTCAGACGACAATCTTCCCAGACTGATCCAGGGATTCAGTGCAGTTCTCATAAAAATTCCAACTGGCTTATTTGCAGAAATTAATACACTGATCTTAAAAGGCATATGGAAAGTTAAAGGAGCCAGCCAAAATAATCTTTAAAAAAAAGTTGGGAAAGTCACTTCCCATATTAGTATGACATTGTAGCATAAACCTGGCATAAGGGGAGACAGATCGATGGAACAGAACTGAGGCCTAGAAACAAGCCTTACACTGACAGGCAGTGGACTTTTGACAGAGGTGTAAGACAGCTTGGTGCAGAAATAATCTTTCCAGCAAATGGTGCTTGGACAGCTGGACAGCCAACAGCAAAAGAGGAAAGCTGGAGCCCTACCTCTTGTCATATGCAAACATCAACCCCTAATAAATCAAAGGCCTGCAAGTAAGAGCTAAAATTTTAAAAACTCTTAGAAGAAAACGCAGACATAAATCTTTATGACTTTGGATCAGGCAATGGTTTCTTAGATATGCTTAGATGTGATGCCAAAAGCACAAGCAATAAAAGAAATTTTAAACTGCACTTCATCAAAATGGAAAATGTTTTGCTACAAAGGAGACCATCAAGGAAATGAAAAGGAAGCAGAGTCGGTACCCAAAAGGCCCAACTCAGCAGAGCCGGTGCACGCTGATGGGAAAGGATCCCACAAAATCACCCAGGTGAAGTGATTCTGAGCTCTGTGCTCAGAAGAAGCTAAAGCAAAAGTCCTTGATTTCAGGCCTAATAAAGTAAGGGACCCTTCCGTCACTGGTTGCCACTACTGCCCTTTCCCCAGCCTCATTCATCTCCTGCCTCTCTGGCCTCTGGTCTCTCTGATCTTCCCAGAACTGACCAAGCACATCGCTACTTCCAGTCTTGGCATTCACCCTCCTCTCTGCCCGGAACTCTCTCCCCAGCCTGCATGGCTGTCAGCTCCCGTGGTCACAACTCTGGACAGGTGTCATCTCAGAGCGCATCCCTTCCGCTGGCCTCCTGTGCTCCATCCAGCCCCTCCTTCCCAGCACTTCCCCTTTACCCTCCTGTATTCTTCCTCATCCCCTTCTTCCCTAACATACTAACCAGCCCTTTGTCTACTGGTTTACTTTTTTGCCCCCTTGGTGAAATGTCAAATCCATAAGGGGGTCAGTGTCAGAGCCTTCCCTCCAACCTTTTGTTTTGAATTTCCATACCATTTTAAAATCCCTGGATTTGTATCCAGTGATGGGTCTGCAGGGGGTTGCAACTGTATCTATGTCTAAAATTGAACAGAACTATGAGCTTTCTGGGGAAAACAAGAAGGACTGTTGTAATCCCCCTGAGAGAGCACATATGCATAGCTGGGCACCCCATGAAACTTTTTAAAGTAAATCACCATTGTTATCCCCACTTTACAGATAAGGAGACTGAGACCCAGTCAGAGTTACTAAGTGGCAGCACCTGGATTCAGAACCTAGCAGCTTAAGCACTGCGTGCAAGGGGTGTGGGTGGGGCTCCCAGGCCGAGGCCCTGCAGGGTAACCTGGGAAGAGACAGAGCTTTATGCTTGGATTTTGGCCTGGCCCCAAACATCTCCAAAGGCTGCTCAAAGCATAGTACAGGACTCTGAGGAAAAGGAAGATGGGATGGTGTGGGATGTAGTCTGGGTGCAGGAGTTTGCCTCAGAAAGGGTGAGTCATTGAAGACAACAGAAGTAAAGGATGAAGACACAGAGCTTGGGGAGAATCGGTTATTCGGCAGGCATTGATTGAGCACCAGCTGTATACCAGAGGCCTGGACCGGTACTGAGCTGGTCCCTTGAATCCCTTACATCTGAGTCTCCTCCTTTCTCTGCCCTGTGCTTAGCAGGGCCTGAGGGTAGCCCTGGACAGGGACGGCAGGTCCACAAGGCTCTGTCACACTCCCAAGCTAAAGAAGATTAACACAGAGAAAGGAAACAGAGACAGCATACAGGAGGGAGAAAATATTTACACACCCTAGACTGTGCCTAGGACATAAGGAGTGCCTACAACTCCACCGTAAGGACAGACACCCCAGGGTTTTTTTTAGTGGCCCAGAATCTAAGTAGACATTTTTCCAAAGAATACACACAAGTGAGCAATGAGCCCAGGGAAAGACACAGAGTGTCCTTCGCCATTGGACAAATCGGAGCGAAGGCGGCCAGGGCTGTAGCTGGGGTGTCTCCGTGCCACCCCATCTCCTGCCTCCTCTTGCTTCCTCCTCTCCTGTCTGCACCAGTGCAACTTAATTTACAGTCACCGCATTGCCCGTGGCAATATGCCCTGCTCTGTCATGCCCTGCTCTGTCTCCTACCTCTGGAAGCCGTGTTTGCCCTCCCTGGCACACATCTGACCTCTCTTCTCCCTCCTGAGTGCTGGGATTAAGCTGAAATCATAGAGGTTCAAAGTCCTCCCAAACTGCCAGAGGGCCGGGTTCCAGCATCTTCTGGGACCCAACGTCTCTCTGACATGAGATCCAGGACTGCAGGTCTTTGCACCATCAGCAGGGCAAATCCTGATCACCTCTCCCAAGTGACTCCAGGGAAACATCGCTGCAGGCTCCTTGTAATGCCCCACACGTCTCCGTCTCTTCCTCGTGGGGGTCAGTGCTGTCCTCATCTGAGAGGCAGGTGCCCCCCCCCAGTCAGTCAGGGGCTTCCTTCCTTCCCATGACCCAAATCTGAATTCCAGAGATTCAGGAAAGGAAGCGCTAACAATTAAAATCACCCAGACTAGGAAATGCACCCCAGGGCCGGCCCTGGGACACACTGGAAGGAATTGTGTTTATCGGAACTTTGAAATCACCTCAACAAACATGCACCAGCACCTATTCTGTGGCAAGGAGTCTGTTTTCTTGAGCTCTCCATCCATTCTTTGTTCTGTGTGTGGGCTGATGGTTCCCCTTTCCTCTTTCTCCCAGAATGACCCAAAACGCCTGAAAAAGCAGCTTCCCAAAATCCTGAAACTCCTGCAGCCAGACGACAGGATTCTGATCGTGGGGACAACGCAGCGTCCTTTTGATGCCGAACTCCAATCTTTTTGCAAAGTTTACCAAAAAATCATTTTGGTTCCCAGACCAGACTATGCTTCCAGATATGGCAAGTATCCTAAGCTCTTTCCCACACAGGATGCAGATGCGAGTCAGCAGGGTGTGAGTGCAGGGGTGCAGGGCCAGGAGAATCCTGAGAGCCAGGCTACCTCAGGCTGTGCCCACCTGGTCCCCAAAAGACCAGAGGGCCCTAAATATAAATCACTGGGGCCCAGGAGCAAAGCATCCTGTCTGGATCTGCAGACAGACTTCTTTCCAGCCAAGACAAGGCAACTGGGAGAGACCATCGCTTTTGGCCCTGAAGATTACAAAAGCCCTTGTGGCTGCTGAGTTTTCGTTGGACAGGTACACGAGGCCCACTTATCTCATCCCCTGAGTGATGCTGGCTTCCTCGGAGAACACCACTGCTTTGCACAAAGTTAATTTTTTCAGCCTTAATCGGGTTCCATGTTGACTTCTTTCACAGAAACATTAAAGACAACCTAGGCTTATTTTTTCAAACTGTTTAAATAAAATCAGAATCCATGTCTTTTTCAACACTTTTTGGGGGCATTCTTGAGATCAAACCCAGGGCCTTTGCACTGCATGACGCTATATCCCGACACTTTGTTTATTCAGTCTTCTAAAGAGCCTTGATGGAGTTCTCTGACTGTCATCTTATTTTCACTGTTGTGCAGGATTCATTCTGTATCTAAAGTTATCAGCAGGAACGATTTTTGTAATTCATTTTCACAACCTTCCTGTGTTCAGATTGAATCACTTAATGTGGATTCACTAAAAGTCATTGGGGGAGGAGATAAAGGATCCAATTGTCTGATGAAATCCAACGTACGATAATAAACAAAGCCTGGCAGTGGTCCATGAAAATTAGGATCAGCTTTCTAATTCTAGTTATAAAAATAATTGGAGAAAAAATAATATAAGAAATGAACATAATAACTAAAAACAGTTACACTCTTTTCTAAATTCTCTCAGAGATGTCATTCATATGTACTATATATAAATTTCCAACTTTAAAATTTTCTAAATATTAGAATTCTACTGGAGTCATTTTTCTTGTCCTATCACAAGGGCATGTGGATCTGTAGACCTCAGGATCACCGTTCTGTGTATCACATGGTAGCAATTCCCCAGAGGACTCTGATTTAGTTGGTCACCTTTCTGTCCTCTGAATGACAAGAAAGTTCTCAGTAGACCCCACTTGCATCCCTTTCCTGAGCTGGGGCAGGGCTCCAGGCTAATGTTGCTTGCTCCGCGATAACTCTTAGCAAACCTGTGTCTTTTCTGCCATGTTGGATGCAACAGTTCTCTGGAAACAGATCATCCAGCGCAGAGGAGGGGTCCTTACGAAAGCCTTGAACATCAGCTGCCTGGCCAAGGTCACTGATGGCTTCACCCAAGGACACATAGTGGAAGTGATCAAAAATGTGCTCACAGAGAGGCGGATTCGTCAGCAAGTGCGTAAACCTCTCACCGCGGGGGAGTTCATCACAGCCATCACCAGCATGAGCCCGGTGTACAAAGAGGAGGAAGACTGCTTTAAGGTACCCGGATGAGACACTTGTCATACACACGCCATGGCTTCCCTAGGTTTCTTGGGTTTGAACACTGCCACACTGAAATTAGAAACTTGACATCTTTAGATTACAAAATCTTTTGAAGGCTGGGGGTTGGCTCAGTAATAGAGCACCTGCTTAGTGTGCAAGCGGTCCTGGCCTCTGTCCCCTACATGAAAACCAAAAAAATCTCTTGAGCCTTAGCAGTAAAGCATGTTTTCCAAATTTTAGGAAAATCATAACCTATGGTCTTATAAATGTCAAAACCATTACCTCTGCCTCCCTCTCCCTCCCGTAATTGGCGTAAGGAGGGAAAACATTCCTTAAAGAGTCCATTTCAAGCTCATGCTATTTTAGCACAGATTTCACACTACACTTCACTTTCCAGTACTTGCAGTAGGAAACTACAAGAGAACTCAGCAAAATCTGATTTTTCAATTTTTAAACATCTCTTGACGTGTTCACAGAACTTTTTCATCTTGGAGGAAATGTTGAGATCTCTCTCCCAGCTGACTCTCCCAGCGCAGCATTGCTGAGCGTTCCATACTTCATCCCCTCCCGCAGCTGGCACCAGGCACAATAAGGGTACAGCCCAGTCCCTGATGCCCACAGTGGGCACTGCTCAAACTCTACTTGGCTCTCCTTCAAATCCAAATGAAACCAGTGTCATTGCTTTCTGCACCTAAGGTGGATTCCTTAACTGCGACAGAAAGGGAAGGAGATTATATCCATACAATCGAAGGTCACTGCCACCTGTCACACTCACCAAAAGGAGAAGTGAAATTCTCATCAGAGCCTCTCATTGCTGGGACGCTGGTTAAGACGGGGACATTTTCCCAGGAACATGAATGAGGTGGGAGAACTATAGTGAATGTTTAAATTTTTTATTACAGTAAAAGACACAGTGCCACAGGTGCCCCTAAGGATATTTTCTCTCACTTCTAACACATTTACCCCTTTACCTGCCACTTTCTGAATCATCTCCGAATGCCCTCTTTACTGTACTGTCAGTGAATGAGGTGGACACACCACCGTGCTTCTGTGGGCCCGCCTCTCCTTCAGACGCTACTCAGCAGCAGCGTTCACTATATCTTTAATCACATCTCATAGACCCTCAGAAAAGAGGACTCCCAGAGCTGCTTCAGAAAGCAGTCAGAACAATGAGACAAGTGTATCGGAAGCATAGGGGAACATTTTGAGGGGATTTATGGCAATATTACTTTTACTGTAATAATTTTTAAAATTTAAATATTCATTGTATATTTTGATCCACCTCATATCATCTTTTTACCAATAAAAATATTTCTTTCTTTCCTGATTTCCCCCAATGCTTCCTCAGAAAGTGGAAAATAGTCACAATGACAATCTCAGCAGTAATAGTGTAACATAAGAGTTGATGAGCTCTCTCTGTAATACTTTCTTTGACTACTTTAAGCTTCAAGAGACACACAGCATCTGTCTCAACAGATCAGCTTGTAGCATGCTACCAAAGCATCCTTACACATTATGCAAGCCGGTGGGCGTGGCTAGGTTCCAATAAAACTTTATTTGCAATAACAGAAAATGGATCCTCTTGGACCCATCTGCATATTTTGCTACCCTAGCTTGAGGGAAACTGAAAGAAAAAATCAACTCTAGGTGTTTGCCAGGCATTTGAACTAATGTTCTGTTACCTTAACTGTTTAATTAATATTCTGCTGAATTTAACTGTTTAAATTTTGTTCCTGTTAATACTTAGCCTCTTCAAGCTTTGCCTCATATTCTTCTGAAATTCTCTTATTTTTTTTCACCTTTTTAAAATCTGATTTTCCTCCTTTACTTTGAAAAGCTGGGCTAAGGGAGTTAGGCTAAAGCTGGGTTTGTAACTTTTCAAAGCAACTATCGTTAGGTGTTTTCCATCCATGGCTGTGTTTGAAGGGGACTGTCCCATTCAGGAGAGGGAGAAATCACTATCTTCTCACCTGAGATGAAGAGGCAATCAGTGAGTGCTAGATACCGTTTATGACTGAATTATAAGTGGTATCTAGCATTTACTAGCTGCTTATGGTGTGTCGGGCACTGTATTAACCCATGTAGACCTATTTGGCAAGCTAGGATCCTGAGCCACATAGGGTGGTGTGTCAGGCAAAATAACAGCCCCTCCAAGATGTCTGCCTCCCAGTCCCTGCAGCCTGTAAATGTATCATCTTCAGTGGCAAGGGAAGCGTAGGTTTGCTGGTTGAAATCCATACATGAATCTTGTACTTTGAGGTTCCAAATCCACACCATCTTCCTGATACCAGAATCCACCATAGGTTTTGGAATTTTAACACATTCCAAAAAATGATCTTGTATAATTAAAACTCCTGATGCCACATCAAAAGCAAGTGAAACTTATGGAAACTTATTCAAATCAAGGACTTTCAAATCCTATAGGAAATGCTACCCTTGCTAGAGACAAAGTCATACTAATAATAAAAAATGTAATCCATTAGGAAAAAACCTACCATGAGGACAGTCAACAGGTACAGATAACAGAATTAGCACTACTGAGGACCTGAGATGATAGAGCATTCTGGAACAGACTACACATTAACTTTATTTAACTTATTAAAAACCAAGTGTATTATGGGAGTTAGAACAGACAAACTTGGAAAACAACCAAAAGAACTTCTGATAATGAAAAATATATATAATCACTAAAATTAGAAACTCAGTGAGTAGGTTGTCTATGGATTAGACACAACTAAACGAGAAAATATAGAAACTGGAAAGGTGAATAAGAAAATTGCCTAGTGTGCAGTATAGAGAAAAATAAAGAATGAAAAATAAAGAGAGGTTAGGTAAGAGTCATGGAAGATAAAATGATAATGCCTCCTGCTTTTGTGATTTGACATTTAATTCCCCAAATCACAAGGAGTATTCACTTCAAACTGTGAACGTAAGACTTCATTCTCTATTGGATTTAGAAGATCTTGTTAAAGCAACTGCAGGTTTGCTAGGGTGGGAGACAGAGAACAAAATAAAACTTCCTACTCAGAACAAATCTGAAAATCTAAATTCTAAAACATCTTCGGAAGTTCAGTGTTAAGCACAATCTGATGAAAATGCTTACGTGAATATAATTAAGATGTTTAAGAAAATATATGAAAACATGACTTCAATTAGAATATATACAATGTTTCAAAATAAAGGTAGGGGAAAATTGAATGAGAGGTGGTTATGGAAAAGTCATGAAAAAAAAAACATACAAGCAAAAATACAGTGGTTATCATAAAATAGTTTAAAAATAAGAATTATGGATTCTAGGCTGCACAGGGTCTAAAAGCAAATTGGTAGACACCAAGTTCCCTCAGAAGGTAACACAGATAAACAGAAAGATAAAATCCATAAAAACAAATTTAAGATCCATGAAAAGTGGATTAAAAGATATTAACATCCAATTCATAGAAATTCTAGAAGAAAGGAATGCAAAAAATACCAGAACAGTGTTTTGAAAAAAAATATGCTGGTAATTTTCCTGAATTAGAGAGTTCCCAAATTTAAAACTAAACTGCAAAAAGATAGCAAGGCAAATGTAAATAAATACGTACCCTTCCCAAGAACCAGATAGCAAATAATTCTTAAAAGCTTCCAGATAACACACAAAGAAACAACAGTTTTCCAATCAGACGTCTCTTTGACAACAACAGATGATAGAAGGCAAGGAGATTACATCTGTGAAGTGCTAAAAGGAAATAATTGTCTAACTAATATTTATACCCAGCTAAAGTAACACCAGTGAGACAGGCCAAAACAGACATTTTAAAACAAATGATCAAAATAGTTCACTCACCACGCATCGGAGAGCGATCTGGCAATCTCAGATCAAATCAAATGTGCTCAGAACATGTAATCAAGGAATTTAATTTCTGTACACATGCCCTAGAGAAGTTCTCTCATGTGTACACAAGCATCTGTGTAAAAACTGTGATTTCAGCCTTGTTCCCAATAACGAAAAATTAAAAATGACCAATTCATCCACGAATAAATAATGTGTGATCTCATCACTTAATGAAATATTATTACTGTAAACATTATTACTATAAACCAAAATGTTTCTCAGGGTTCAGGCAAAATGCCATGGTGGGCCAGTTTCAATCACAAAGTACATTTTTGGTTATTTGGCTCCATTATTCTGCCAGTCACACTTCTGGTGGCCGTGTGTGAACCCGGGGGGGGGGGATTTCCCAGAGAACCCATAACTCTGAGAGGCAGTAAGAGACCAGGGAACTGGGCACCTGGCAACCAGAGTTGTTGGCTAAACTTAGTCTGAAATTGCTGACTCATGGGGTAGATTCAAGTCATGTAGAAATACAGACCTGGAAACCCAGGGTGCAGAGTATTAAACAACTGTAAGAGATGGTTCCTTTCTCTGCAGCAGGCTCGCGCTCATGCTGAGCCGTATTCCAGAGCGTTCGTGTCATTCTGATCTTTGCCTGAACATCTGCTCTGTTTCAGGACTGGTATGCCAAAACACCCCTGGGTAAAAGGCGAGCCTTGTCATTCACAGTTGGTGGCAAAGAAAAGGAGAAAGATAAAGGGAAAAAGAAAGGAAAGAAGGAAAAAAAGAGGAAGTAATGCCTTTCTGAGGAGCCATCCCCGAGCCTCTTTGAGATGTCGATGGCCCTGAGTCTCCAGGGAAGAGACTCACCTTCACCCACTGCAGAAGCCCCGAAGAGAAAAAGCCCCAGCTAGTGCTACCAACCACCTACCACTGACCACCGACCACTGACCACCGACCACTGACCACCGACCACTGACCACTGACCGCCGCAGCTCAGGTCTCCTTCAGTGGGCAGACACCAAGCCAGGCATCTGCAACAACTGCTTCCACCAATTGTAATTGTTCCTTAATCTACCTACACTGTGCCTATCACTGAAATTCACTTTCCACATACTCCAGGCCCTTTGCAGGTTGAACCCTTGTCAGTACTAGAGTCACATTTAAAAGTCTGACAAAGACTATGCTGATTCGACAACTAAGCTGGGAGTGTGTTCTCGGTTGTTTACTAATCCATATACGCTGTATATTATCTTGCACATATTTTAATAAATTACTTCTCTGCTCTAGTATTTTATACACTGGAATAAAGCTGTTGCTTGAACTGTCTCGGTCATTTGGTTGCTGGAACTAACCCAGAGTCTAGCGAAGCACTGTTTCAATCTCCTGATTTTGGAGATGAGTCCAGTATCAAGGCACAAACATTTAGAACATGGGATGAGGTCACCACCCAGTCTAGGTCTCTGGAGAACCCCTCAGAAATGGGCAACATCAAAATGGGATGCATGCAGAGCTGAGAAAGCCTAAGTGGAAAATGACAAATAAGAAAAATATTAAAGGAGAGAAAAGGAGTCAAAAGAAATTTGTATTTTGTAAGAACATGAAGGGTGCTTGGTAGAACACAGTAAGTTACCCACCTCTAAATTGTGGCAAGGACACACAGGGAAGGACAAACCATAAACAGAGATGGGATGGTTTAACTCGCATACTGAACACATCCCATCTGACAGTCTGGGGTACACCTGAGAACAGGCCATAGCTCCACATCTTCCCAGGACCTAGTGTCTTGGCTTTAAATGCCCAAGAAGACACAGTTTCTGGCATGCCTAGCTGCCAGCACATCCCCTGGCCTGTCTGTACGGAAAAGGCTGACACAGATGAGAACACCCAGCTATGGTCACTGGCCAGGTGTCTTAGGTGTGTTCTACACTCACTAGAAAATTCAGCTGTTCCTGGCATTCATGCAACACTGGCCCAGAAGTCCACCCCCGACCTGCGAAGCCCAGATGTCCAAGTCCTTTAGTGACAGTGCTGTATTTGCACAGGAACTACACCTATCCCCTGTATACTTCAAAATCCTCTCTGGAGGACTCACGACACCTCGCATGATGTAAACACTCTGGAAACAGCTCTGCTGCTGTCCTGGAGAGAGGATGGTGCAGGAAGTCCGTGGGGGTGATGCACACTGCTTCTAACCATGGAGCTGGGAGTGGCAACCTTCTCCTGAGGAAGCCAGGCAGGGCAATGGCATGGGGTGTAGGGCACCATGATGGGAAGGAAGAAGGGGCCACTTTCTTCTCTGGAGCTCTGCTGGGGCCTAAGCTATTCCTGGGCCATTATATGGCAATTATGCTCTCGAGCCTGTTCTTAAGTGAAGGGGACAGTAATTAACATCATTAACCCTCATTAAGGGAGTGATCTGTGGAATAGAATCTGATTGAAGTAGAATCATCACTCTTGGGCGGCTGCACACCAACTGCTGAATAGCACAACGCTCCTACCAAAGCCCCACAACCGTCAGGTCTTCCATAAACACCTCTGCTAGCAAATACCAAGCTCAAGACCCCCTCGCCTTTACTTCTGAGACTTTTCCTCAACACAGCTCCATGTTGGTTGCCAAGGCAGACATTTTAGGGGGCAGGGAGGGGAATCACAAGGCTGATTCATAAGAGTGACAGTATTTTTAGCCACTAATGACATGACAAGACCCAGACCACTGAGGTAAGTGGCTTCTGATGACCCTGAAAATCTGAAGATTTTAATTTAAAAGAGGCTGGGCTGGTGTTCATAAAAGCAGAAGAAACCATGAAAAAGCATGGGCTTCAAACCACACTGCCAGCCACTTGGGTTGTACTCACACCCCGGTACAAAATCCACAAAGCAAACACCGCTGGTTCACTGATGCAGGTCTCCGTGACAACTGGCTTTCCTTAGACTTCACGGTTGCAGCCTTGCTGTCTTTTGGTTGCTTCTCCAAGTCAATTTGTGAGCCTCTTCAGTGAGCCTGGTGCGGCCCTGGGAGCTGAGCTGGCCTGTGGGCTGGTGGCCAGGGAGACGTCCACCAAATGACCGTGATAGAAGCATGCAAGGCCACCACCCCACACTCCTGTGCCTGGTCTGAGAGACCAAACCCACCACTGCCTAGATTTCTCCCAAGAATCTGAGACCACGATGAAGTGCTAGGCCCAGATGTCTTAGCTCTCCCAAGAGACTGTGCGCAGCACTGCTGCTATCGCCTAAGACAGTTTCCCCACCACGTGGAAGCAGCTGGTAAGAGTTTTGTGCTGTGTGGGCATCACATAAGGACCTTCTGGTGGTGGGCTTCAGGGAGAGAGTGGGGGAGGTCAGGGGCCTGCTGCTGCACGCTGATTCTGTTACCCAAAGACACCTTGCTCTAGACAATTGACCCAGTTCCTCCTCCACATGGCAAGCCCACTGCTTTACTCCTTCTGTCGGGCTCTGAATTGTGCATCTTAGAAACAGTCTACGGTCAGCTCCAGGGATGTGAGATACGGGCACTCACCATGCCCAGCTCAGGATCCATCCCAGCTCCAGCCCTCATGGCTCAGCACATGCAGCATCAGGGGAGGGGCATTTTTGATACTGTTTTTTGCAATGGTGGGGATTGAACCTAGAGCCTTGTGATAGACCACACACTACTCACACACATACAAATGACATGTGATATGCGTAACCATGCATAATTATCCCAAGCAACTGCATGTGTACATACAATACACATGGACACACACATGCACACGCATAGGCATATATACCTACAGGGAGCCCAGATGTACATGCACATACACAGACACATGTGCATATATCCTACCCACTTAGTCCCAGAGCACCCCACCTCCTCAACAGGCTGCCAGCAGGTGCCCCTGGCCCGCACAACCCTGAGCCTCAGGCCACAGCCTCAGTGACAAATGCAGAAGTTGCCTGGGAGAACAGGTGCTCTGGGGGGCTGTTTACTCCACGTGCTCCATGAAAACATCCTCTCCCTGTTCCTCATGGGAGTTAGAGGAGCCCCCAGCTGCAGGAAGGGTTGATGATATCTGGGCTCCCAGCTGCACCTGGAACAGCTTGAGGATGGGGTGGGGCACTGCTGATCCCCAGGAAAACCACACCAGAAATGGATGTCACTACACCAGAAGTGCACCCCACCTACAGCAGAGCTCTGAGAGGTGAAAGGGCTTTCCTAACCCCTGCTGGCTCCCCTAGCTCACCATGAGTCTCCGGAGGAAGAGCAGATGGGGGCCCTGGGGGACCGCTGAAGACCATATCTCCTTTCTCAAGCTTGAGAGACACGGGTGAAGCCTGTGAAGCTTCTTGGAGCTCTAAGCCTCCATTGTGAGGGAGACAGAAGCATCCCCAATACAAGGACTCTTTAGAGCCTCAGCCCATGGTGGGCTGTCCTTGGGGTCCTCAGGGGATTCACGGGAAGGGCACCAGAGTGCTGGGATTTCCACCAGAACCAACGCCAAGGAAGATGATCACAGCTGGAGGCAGAGCTTGCATCCCCACCAGGACCTGGCTGACTCTAAGCCCCAGGGTTTTGGAACCAGAGGTTGCCTTCATGTCAAACAGCAAGGACAATATTTGCTTCTGATCTCTGCCAGCTGCCCACACAGCTACCTCTGTGTCCCATGAGGCCACCCTGCCCCAGGAGGTGGCTCCCAGAACTTGGCTGCAGACCCAGCTGCTCTGGCAGTGCCACACGGTCAGATCTGTCTCCAGCACCAGCTGGCCACCCAGCCCCACCTTATGCCACTGCCTGATGCAGGATCTGTGGCTTTTTTTCCAGCTCTCATGGGACAGCAACCCAAGAACAGGACTCTGCCATCTCCTATGCTAACTGTCATGTCCCCAGAGCCTGGAGCAGGCCAGGAAGAGGTGTTCTAAGGGAAGGTAGTTCCAGCTCTGGTTACCAGTAAGCTCTCAGGGCTTAGGACAGAAATTCCCCCAACGAGTTGGGAGTGGAGAGGACTGCTCCAGGGATTCATCCAGGCCCCCAGGCTCCGATGCCTTCCCCAGGCACCCTGCACATCAAAGTCCAGCCTCAAGAGAGGGAGGAATGAGTGTGTGAAGACCAAGAAAGGTTTTAGGGGCCAGATTCACAGAGCATGTCCACATAGCACATGCCGCACCCAAGAGCAAGGGAAGGGGAATACAGGTTAGCTGTGCACCCAGCCTCCATGGCCAGGGGGGCGGGTGACAAAAACATCAGTGACTTTTAGCTTCAAACTTAAGGAATTTTAGGATTTCCAAGCAAAAGCACTAAAGATAGGTGGGCAGTGGACAGCCAGATAAGTAGGTAGATAAACAGAAAATAGATAGATGATATATGAAAGATGAAAGATAGATGATAGATACATAGATGATACACAGACAACAGAAATAGATAGATGATGAATGGATAATAGATGATAAGTAGATGGTAGATGGAACAGATGCATGACAGATTCCCTTTTGACAGTCCCTTTAATGTCACTCTTAGCATGCCTGAAACACCATTAAAGTCTTATTCTTTGGACATAAAACTTTCTTATAGACTTTTATCAAGATGTGAGTATCCCTGAGAGGGGTACAACCCCCCCCCCCGCTGCTCCTGAGCCACGCGTGCCACAAGTACAGAGAAGGGCTCCCCAGGCAGGGTGGGAAGTGGACACGTGACCACCTCCTCCCAAGCCAATCTCGTCCCTGCCACCTTCCCAAAGAAGAAGGTCCTGACCTCCCACAACCCTGGAGATGTGGGCCTGGTTTAGAGCTTCAAGAAATGGAAAAGCAAGTCTAGGATCCAGCACCATGTGAGGCCGCCACCAGACTGGAACAGACAGACCTCAGCCACTTCCGACACGCACGGTGCCAAACAAGAAGTTCCAACACCTCCCCTCCCCATCTAAGTGACCAGCTTATCCAGAGAAACGCAGGCTGTGATGACAGCTATGGAGGTGAAATGCAATTGGACTCCTGTGGTGCTTTGGGGTTTCACTGACATTGCAGGTCTAGGGCGTGGTCTGATCATGGGTTCAGAGGATAGAGGTACACAGTGTGGCATTTAGGGGGGATCTCCTTATGAGGGTTGCAGCCACTGTTGATTCCCTATGACTTTGTTTTGAAGTCCTGTATCATTTCTATTGTTTTGTTGGGTTGGGTTTATTCTCCTTTATTTTGTTTGATTATGTTAAATCCAATGGCAGGAGCAGCTGTTTCAAAGATAGCAAGATATATTATGGTAGCAATTTTGGATTCACTATTGGCTTGTTTTGAAGTCCTTTATTGCATTCATTGTTTTGTTTTTATTGTTTCTCTTCTATTCTGTTCT